CCCAGCAGATTAAATGACTCATTTAACATCATCGCAGATGACCCACTGACTAGGACCCGGAAGACATTCTGACATTTTAGATAATTTTGTTGTAAAATGAACTTGTCTGATAGCAAAACAAACATCAGAGACAACATTTTCTCTAGAGTCTGGGTATATTTTTAAAAGATCTTGATGATTTGGATTTGGGGCTCTTTAGAAACAAGGGCAACCATGTGATTACATGTCTGGTAATGACAGGTGAATAAGCTTAAGATGTTGGACCTTGAGATCTCTTTAGCCAACTAGTGAGAAGCATATTAAAGGCATATTATTCATTTCAATGTATAACAAAAACTACTGTAATGATGTAAAGTAATTAGCCTCCAACTAATAAAAAAAAAAAACCTGGAAAAAAAAATAAAAAAAAAAATAAAGGCATATTATGTTTAGTCAGGGTTTTTTTGTTTGTATTTGTGCATGGCTAACTATTTTGACTTCTTTTTTAAAACCCTTAAGGAGAGGTTGTGACTTGAATATAATACTTTGAGTTCAAGAAAAATCACTGGACAGTATAAGATTAAATTATGGCTAAAATTAATCCACAATTAAGAATTGTTTTCAGACATCCTGTATATGTTTCATCTCAAAGGATGTAGATGAAATCTTTGAAAGATGTCACAAATCACTGTTCATAAAGGACTGTATCTCCAAAATCATTTATAGTTTATGTGTGTGTGTGTGTGTGTGTGTGTATGTGTGTGTGTATAGAAAAGAAAGCTAGAGCTAAGTCGTGTCTGACTCTTGTGACCCTGTGGACTGTGGCCTACCAGGCTCCTCTGTCCATGGGATTCTCCAGGCAAGAATACTGAAGTGGGTTGCCATTTCCTTCTCCAGGGAATCTTCCCGACCCAGGGGTCGAACCCAGGTCTCCAGCATTGCAGGCAGATTCTTTACCAACTGAGCTATGTGGGAAGCCATATATATATACATATATTTTGCTTGTTTGTTTTTGGCTGTGCTGGGTCTCCGGTGCTGCATGGGCCCTCTATTTTCCGTGAGCAGGGGTGCTCTCTAGTTGCGGCGCGTGGGCTTCTCGTTGCATAGTACTGGCTCTGGAGCATAGGCTCAGTAGCTGTGGCTCATGGGCTTAGTTGCTCCATGATGGCTTGTGAGATCTCCCTGGACCAGGGTTCAAACCCGTGTCTCCTGCATTGGCAGGTGGATTCTTTACCATGAGTTACCAGGGAAGCCTTTCCACTTAGAGTTTTTTAATTAAACATGATTATAAACTATTTACATATCAGTCTTGTTTTATACCTTAAGCTCACTATGCAGATTAAAGGAAAACTTTCCCCGTATATTAGCTAATATAATGGTTGATTTGTGTGAATTTCTACACTGCATATTTAAACTTCTTTAAAACACCTCAGTTGTATTCTAGTGTCTGAATATGGCAACACACCAAGCAGTGTGCTTCTGAATTGTTGAATACGATGTTTGAAACATTTCAAAGTTTTGGTTAGTTAGCGAAGTGTAATGAAAAATACAGCCATGTAAAAAAGTAATCGATGAGTCAGAAACCTCCAGTATATAGTCCTGCATCTGTCTTTGTTTTTTGAGTTAAGGACTTCATGTGTTTACTGAATTGGTTAATCAACAATAAGAAATTTAAAAAGCTTTATTATTTCTTTATATTTTCTGTCTCTTCAATTAAAGTATGAGCTCCTTGAGTGGAATGCCTGTCTTATCCATTTTTTGTGTGTGTATTTTGTGTCTGCATCTTAAGTGCTCAATAAATGTTTTTCAATTGTCTACTTTTTCTGAAATTCCCTCTATCACATCTTTTGGACTTCTCAATGTCTTTTTTTCTTCTTCAATTGACTTGACTCCTTAGGCATCTCATTCTTTTTTATGCTTTCTGAATATACCTCTCTTAAGTCTATTGGGGAACTTGGTCTCCCTAACCTCCTGAGAACTCCTTGATCTTGGGCCACAAGATATATCCTTCTTTGCACTGACAGCCCCAGGCACAGTGCTGTGTGTATAACTGGTAATCGGTCAGTGTGACTAAAAATAGTTATATATCAAGACTGTATGTTAGGAAACTTTTTCAGTGAACATTCTACTTTAACAAATCCTATTATTTTAATTTGAAATATAACCATAAAAATGTTCTTTATTAATTGGGGAAAAAGTAAAACTATGGATCCAAATATGTGAAGTTATCCTTTCCATAGATTTATTGAAATATAGCATGTATGTGTTCCATTTAAACAGAAAATGGCTGTGAATGAAGAAGTAAATGCATGTGTCTCTTTTGGATTATTTTTCTTTGACAATAATGTTTAACCTTAGATATGCTAGGAAAACAGTTTACATCCTCCTCCCCCAGATTCCAAGAATGGTATTATTTTAATACATCCACGAGTCAGATAGTTATATCCTTTATTAGAACACCCTAAAATGCGGTGTGTTACTGGTGTATTTACCCATAAAATTGCATCAGGTAAAACTGAGTTGCCAAGACTGTCCTGGATAAAATGATCATCAGGAAAGTATTGAATGAATCTGCTGGTAATTTTGTTTGAAGAAGTGCTTAAGGGTGAGTGGTATATAATTCCAAGAACAAGAAAACCATGTATGTTGGAGTAGTGTTCGTGAGGAGAGAATTCATAGTTAATGATGTTGAGAATTTCCCAAGGCTGTGCTGGGAGAGCCAGCAAGGTCTTTTTCGACAGAAGGGGAGGTTCTGGAGGCTTTAGCTCAGTCTGCTTCTGAGTGGCCTTTACCTCATTAGCTCTGAAAGGGAAAGTCGCTCAGTCGTGTCCGACTCTTTGCAACCCCAGGGACTGTACAGTCCATGGAATTCTCCAGGCCAGAATACTGGAGTGGGTAGCCTTTCCCTTCTCCAGGGGATCTTCCCAACCCAGGGCTCGAACCCAGGTCTCACGCATTGTGGGCGGATTCTTTACCAGCTGAGCCACAAGGGAAGCCCCCATTAGCCTCTGAACCAAGTCCAGTCTACGTTCGCCTGTAACCGTGGACCAAAGGCATAAAGCAGCATAGAAATTTCACTATTTCTTAAGCCACAAAAGAAATCTCCCTGTTATTGAAGAAAAATTTAAAAGCAGTGATTTTAAAAGCAGGTCTTTATGCTACAGGTGGTTTTAATGCCACGAATTCTGTGTTCTAGTGCCCCCTCCCCACCCCGCTCCCTTTCTTTCTCTGAGGAAAGTGACGTATGTCTCAGTTCGTCGCCGCTCAGAAAATGTTTCCATATGCCTTTTGCAGTTGAACCAGTCAGATTCTACAGGTGGCAAATAGGAAGTGAGATAGGCTCTGGGAGCCAGTATGCATTCCCTTCCTTTACTGTCACCCTTGACACTGAGATTTCAAATCAGGCATCAAAAAAGAGGTGCAGGCCGTGGCTGTTTGATTCCGTGCTCTGGTCGGAGTGGTGTCAGCCTCGCTTGCTCTAATGGGTAGAGCTCCCTTGGTAAGTACATCTTAGATATGCAAAGCCGAGTGTTTATTTCACATGGGATAGATTAGTTGACCGTTTGTTTTCTGTCTCAGAGAACTCATGCTCTAAAGGTATTGCCGAAGAGAATGCATGCATGGCTATTTAGCTGAAATTAAACTTGGCTCATGCATTTCTAACATCTACTTCTGTTAAAAGAAAAAAAAAACCTTCAGAATAATGATGTAGTGATGTAGTGCCCACTTTACTGATTAGTGGGCAAAAAAGTGTATCATAGTGCCTCCTCATTATTTAACATATAATTATTAGATTTCTGCTTCATTAGGTGGGCTTCCCAGGCGGCCAGTGGTAAAGAACGTGCCTGCCAATGCCAGAGGTGCAGGTTTGACCCCTGGGTCTGGAAGATCCCCTAGAGAAGGAAATGGCAACCCACTCCAGTATTTTTGCCTGGAGAATCCCTGGACAGAGGCGCCTGATGGGCTGCAGTCGATGGGATTGTGAAAGAGTCAGATACAATTTAGCAACTAAAGTAACAACAACTAAAGTTCATTAGGTAGAATTTTTATTTAGTAAAATTTTATTGTAATTGATGTATAGACTATAGACAGAAACACAAATACTGTCTGTGCATCTTGAGATTGTTAAGAGTATTTTGTTTTGCTGTAATCCTTATAATATGCTTCTGAGAATTTCTGAATCACTCTTAACCTGAATCTTGAGGATAATGGTTTATGGAACCACATGACTCTTAAGGGTCAATAGAATCTAAGGGTTTAACTCCTTTTTAGCTCCATGATCCACAGTAAATTAATAAAATCCTTTGTGTATTTTTCTTCATCTGTAATGGAGATAATAATAGGTAACTACATCATAGAAATGTTGGAAGGATTAAATGAATTAATACTTATAAAAGGCTTAGACAAGTTCATGGAACATAATAAGTGTTCAAAGATGTTAGCTGCTATAATAATTATTAATTTTTATTTTATGTAGAGATTTAAACACTATATATATATATTTGATGGACTGATACAGTGAATACATTTTAGTGAACTGAAATTCAGGGTCCAATTTTCCATGTCCACACATTAGCAAGGGACTGACTCACTTAACTAATGTAGGAGATGTTTATTGAATTTATGGCATAGACTATATCAGGCATTTTGGAGAATACAGGATCATTTCCCTCAAGAAACTTCTATTTAAAATGCTTGATACAAGAGTCCTGTCCAGGAGACCAGGGTTTGATCCCTGGGCCAGAAAGATCCCCTGGAGAAGGAAATGGTAACCTACTCCAGTATTCTTACCTGGGAAATCCCATGGACAGAGGAGCCTGGCAGACTACAGTCCATGGGGTTGCAAAGAGTTGGACAAGATTTAGTGACTCAGCAATAATATAAGAGTAGGAGAGATGGTGTATGAGTGAGTAGCCAACATACAGCTAGATGTGGTATAGAAATTTGGCTTATATGAACTCATCGAATCGTAAAATTTGTAACAGGTTACACAACAAGTGCATGTTTTTGTTCTTGAACAGGTTTCTGCATGTTTGTGCTGAGCTTGGTGAAGAAGCATTACCGTCTGCAGTTTTATATGGTGCGTATTAACCATTATTTTGTAGTTACTATATGTAATAAAAACCTTCACCTTTATTATTTTTTTTCTGTAGTGAGAAAATAGGATCTAATCTGCTAATTGCCTATATGTGAGGGGTATTTGAATTTTGGATGACTAATATTTATAAATGTTTGAAGCTGAAATTTTTTCAAGGATTCAGAATTTTTAACTTTTGAAAGTTTCCCCCCAATTTTTCCTTTCAGTATTTTCAAAGGCTGTAAAATTTAAGTCAAGCATTTGGATCCCCTAAATTTGTAGAAATTTGAGGTGTTTCCATAGTCTCCTGAGCAGTTAAAAAGTCTCAGAAACATCTATCATATATTTTATGGGAGGGACCTATGTTTACTTGTGCTTAGCCTAGGCATAAGGGTACAGAGCTTACATTTTCCTGCTAGCTATGGTTAGCTTACTTTTTTCTGGTAGCTACAGTTGCATGATTCGTTTTGGCCAGAACTATTTCCTTCAGTGTATCCTTGAACAGTGTTCAGTGTCTTATGAAAAGTATCACTGTATATGATGACCTCTTATTTTCTTAAACGGTAGCTAATGATAAGAGTGTAAAATGACAGTTGTAGTATCTATAAACTAATGTATTTGCTAGGTTTGTTGTGAATTTGGGGTGTAATTCCTATTCTTCATGCTTTGCTTTTCCCTGCTAAGACATCCTGCTGTGCACCATTGCTGGAAAATTATAGTGTTTCTTATACATTCCTAATTTCTTGGGTTCTTGAGGGAACAAAAATGGTAAAATTCTCAGTGAAAATCTAGAAACCATCAAGACAAATTAGAAATAATAGAATCTACTATGAAAATATAAATGGTACCTATTGGGAAAAACCATTTATGCATATTGAAGCAATCTAAGACAGAATTGGATCACTTAAGCAGATGAAAACAAAACAGAACAACGAATGTAATGCACTGTTTGCTGCAATGGAAGACAGGTTTATTATGAATAAATCAAAATCATAAGAATTTTGAAAAGTCCTTTTATAACTTTCGGTAAAAATTGTGAGAGACTTCCCTGGTGATCCAATGGTTAAGACTTCACAATTCCAGTGCAGGGGTTGCAGGTTTGATCCTTGATTGGGGAACTAAGATCCCACATGCTGTGCAGTAAGAAAAGAAAAAAAAAAATCATGAGACTAATACATAGAAATATTAGCCCTTTTTGTTATTCTACTTATATTAATGATGCTAAAAGTAGCTAAAGTGGCTGTCTCTCAGGATAGATGGGGTTGATGAAACAGAGGCCTTTTGACAATTTAAAATGGAATACTTTCATTGAACAGAGCTGTGAAGATCAACTTTCAAGTATGAAAAGATTGGATTTAAGGGCAATTGATCCCTGCTTGTTTGAATCATTTGAAGTTATAAATAACTCTTTATGGGAAAATGTTAACCATAGTGAACTCAGGAAAAAATCATTTTCAGCATTTCTAGTAACTAGAGAAATGCAGTCAGAGTAAAATTTTAGTTCTTATCTAAATGCCATAGCAGTACTGTAAACTTGTCATTACCACTTTAATCTCATGATTCAAGATGATGGTTTATTTTTTAATATGTCTTTTTAAATTTAGAGGTGTAGCTCGGTATTATTAGCATTCCATTTTTGTATAAATTAAGGTTACTTTGTTGAATATTTTTCATGGTTCTCAGGTTTCAGGAGGCACCAAAATGAAGGTAATTTACTAATGGCATTTATTTTCTATGACCTTATCTTATGAAATTTGACCAGTAGTCGTGCTAGAAATTTGCGTTTCAGAATTGCTGTTGCTTCGTGGCCTGCCCTGATCTCTTGTGCTCATCATTGTTGTGTTGTTGGGCTGTTAACAGTTCGCATGGACACATGTCACCTTACTGATAACAGTTACTCAGTCACATCTTGTCATCCAAAATCTGTTTGAAGGCATGATATGGTAAGGGGACAGTATATGCTGCTTTATATTTATATATCTTTATAGCACTTTTAAAGCTCTTTTATGCTGAACAGTGTCTTACGGGGATTTCTACTAAAATGTCCTATTTGTTGTCACTCTATTCCATTAAGATAAGTTCCATTTAATTGTTTGACTGGATTCCCTGGTGGCTCAGGCCTTAAAGAGTCTGCCTGCAATGCAGGAGACCCAGGTTCGATCCCTGAGTTGGAAAGATTCCCCTGGAGAAGGAAACGACAACCCACTCCAGTATTCATGCCTGGAAAATCCCATGGATGGAGGAGCCTGGCAGACTATAGTCCATGAGGTCACAAAGAGTCGGATACGACTGAGCGACTTCACTTTCTGTTTGACAACTGAAGACAAATGCTTTGTTATCAGCTGGAAAACTTCCTTTTTCAGGTTTCCAGTAAAATGCAGAAAACCCTCATAAAAGCTCCAAATAATTAAATACATTTTCAGGTGTTACTACACTTTAATATGACTCTTTTTTAAAAACAAAGAATTGAGTGTAAAAAGAGTGTACTTTTTACGTGGAGTGCAAAAAGAAGGGGAAAGTTTGCTTTTCAGCAGACAGTGAGCTGGCAATGCATTTTCTTTGGGTGAAAGGTGGGTTAGTTCTTCTCTGCCTTTGTGTAGGTGTAGAGTATCCAGGTTTCAAGTATTTGGAGTTACTTGCTAGTAAGCTACTTGGAGTGGGTTGCAGATTGAGGAAGCATTTTTATTAGTTAAAAATTAGCTTAAGTTAAAACAATTATTATTCACTAAAAATAAGAGTGGAGAAAAACTTAAGATTTTAAGAAATCTGACCATATTTTCTCCACATTCCTTTAAAACACAGTAACTAAAAACTTTTATAGTTAGTAAGTTTAGTCAAGATAAATTTGTTCCCTTGACAGATTGGTTATTTTTGGTATGTATGTGCAAAAAATTGGAATCATTTTTTGGAATGATTGGAATCATATGGAAGATTCCAAGACTGCCTTCCATATACAACTTTTCATTGATGGGAGGCAATCACTGAAATTAGTAGGTTCTGTACAGTTAGTAGGGTTTAATGCCCCTGTAGGCTAAGATAACATTAAAACTGATAATTGGATGAGAGCTTGGTGTAAGTTTATCAGATTGTACTCTGACTGACTCATTTCTATTTTGAAAGGCTGCTTTTAAAAATTTCTTTATACTAATGTAACATGTTCCTATTGACTGAAAAAAAAAAAAAGATGCATGATGTGAGAATTGTGAGTTAAGTTTTATTTGGAGCCAAATGAGGACTATATAGTTGAGAGACAGTTTCTCAGATAACTCTGAGAAAGTTTTTCAGATAGTTCCGAGGAACTGCTCTAAGGAGGTCAGAGGGGAGGTCAGGATACATATGATTTTAGAGAAGGGGACACATACCATCAAGCATGCATTTTGGCAGAAGGTTGCTACTAATCACGAGGAGCAGCTGTCTCTGTTAATGATTTTAGTGCTTTTCTAGATATGAGAGTGAGTCTGATGTAAGAAATTGGCCTCATAAAATCTCCTCCTAAAAAAATGTCTAACTCTCTGAGGGCCTGTTCTGCCAGTTTTTCCTGGAGCACAGAGTGCCTCACTCCTGATCTTTGCCCTGAACTCCTTTCAGGATGTGTCAAAGGTCAACAGAGGTCAGCAATGGCAGTGACTAGTGACCTAATAATACTCGTAGAGCCAGATGGCAAGTGAGTTTTTAGTTGGCATTCCTCATAAAATGGAAATTTGAAAGTCCATAGCTATAGAAATTGATTATTTAATATTTTCACTAGCAGTATTCTTCTAGTATGTTTATAGATTTTGTTCTGCCTAACTGCTAAATGGGCACATTTGGTTGATATTTATTGTGTCTGTCCATCTATTAGCATGTGTTATGTTCTGGACTAGGGTGCAGTGTCATCCAAAGGGTTATTGCATTGGTTCATTGAGTCAAAACATGTGTAAATATTTGCCATTTAATCTTACAGACTTCTTTCTGCTGACTTTTTTTTTTTTAAGGTTCCTTGTTCCAATATCAAGTGTTATTTGCAATGACATAACTGCTTACATTTTTGGATTTTTTTTTGGAAGAACTCCGTTAATTAAGGTAATGGAAAAACACCACAAACAAGTCCTTACCATAACCTAGATGATTAGCTGCTGGAAAAAATTCCCAATAGTTTGGTGCTGTTACACATTGTTGATTTCTGAGGCACTTTGCTTTTCCTTAGCTACCCTCAGCAGCCACAGTGTTGAGGGCAGAAGTCTGTATTTCCCAGTGATTCCGTCTGGGTTATTCACCAGCTGTTCTCTTGACTCCTCTGTCATTCATCCTCTCTCGTGAAGGCTCATGTCATTTTCTGCTGGCTTCTTTCCCGTGGCTGTTCATGTGGTTTTTTAATTCTTCTCCCCAACAACCCTCTAAAGAGGCCTGTCCTTGACGCTGCCTTCCTCTCAAGCCATCTCATTTGTCTCCTCCTTTACTGAGTTGTTTGAGGGTGTATAATATACCAGCATCACATACTCATGTCCATTTGCAAGACTTTTATATCCAAATTCATTTAAAAAAAAATTGAGGTTCTACAGTAAAAAACATTGATGAATAATGGAAGTGATAAGGAAAGTGAAGATCAGAGACTGGAAAATACACATAAGGAGACCATGTTGTTTTGTGTTAGATTTGCTTCTGTTTGGCTTCCCAAGTGGCGCTAGTGGTAAAGAACCCACCTGCCAATGCAGGAGACTTAAGAGACGAGGGTTCGATCCCTGGGTCGGGAAGATCCCCTGGAGGAGGGCTTGGCAACCCACTCCAGCATTCTTGCCTGGAGAATCCAATGGAGAGAAGAGCCTGGTGGGCTACAGTTAGTGGGGTTGCAAAGAGTCGGACACGACTATAGTGACTTAGCACAGCACCATAGTCAATGGAGGCAAAAAAGGAAGTGAAGTAATTTATAAGTTCCCAACTGGGGTAAAAAAGAAATCAAATTCTCATATAAAGACAGACCATTTTAGAGAACTGGTTTCTTCAAAAAATAAAAAAAAAAACCACTTTTCATGTTGGGGCCTTATAAAGGAATTACTTGGTTTATATATTGGGCCAGGTCATTTATGACATTCCCACAAATGCATTAAGTGGCTGTTTTGATGTTATGACATGAAGGCATTTTTGGAGGAACTGAGACAATTATTCAGATAGAAAACCTGATTGTTCAGAGTGATGTAAGGATAGTTATCATTCCCAGAGGAGTGTGTGGACTGCCTGTCCTTCAAAAACACCTTCCTTAAATTCTTCCCCACATAGGAGTCCAGTACACAACATCAAGCTGAGCTGCTGAGCTGTAGGGACACTGAGCTGTAGGGACATAGTTTAAAAAACTATGTATTTTTAAAGTTTCTGAAGTTGCTTCAGCACAAGAGCGAGTGGTGAAGTAGTCAAAGCTTCTATACCAGCTGAGAAGTTGTTGACTCAGGAGCCCTCAGACGCTGTAGAAGACTCTTACTGTCTGATTTTGAATGTCAATTTCTAGTGAATTACAAGGCTGAATTAGTTGTATAATGCAGCCAGATGTAATTATGCAAGTTAACCCTGAAATCAATATGATAGGGTCAATTTAATTTGATAAACTCTCTTTAAAATAATCAGCAGGCACTTTTGAATTTGAGTCAGCTGCTGTGTCATGACAATAATACTGAATTATCCTAAGAGGTGGTGTATACCACTCACTTACCTATGGAATTGTTGTCAGATTGGTCAAGAAAGCCTTTGTGTTTTGTAAACTTCAGGCTGAGACTTCATGTACTTAAGCATATTACCCATTTCTATGTCAGAATCTTCCCTCTGTTATTTGTTTGGCTTCCGTCCTTACTGATCCACTCAAAGAGTTCTTAGAGAGTCCACCAGAGTGCTTTCCTGATGATCAGAACCCTGTACCGAGTCCTTATTTTCCAGAGCGTCTCAGCAGTTAGCACTGTCTACTCCTAAATCTTTTTCTCCTGCCCCTGTTTCACCAAGTTCAAGACTTTCCTCCAGATTTCTCTTCCTGAATGCTCCAAGGACTAATAAACAATAATTGCAATCTGAAATAGATTGCAAAGGTATACAAAAGTATCCTTAGAAGCACAATATATTTCTTCACAGGGAATGACATATTCTGACCAAAGGAAGGAGGTTATGTGCCCACTTGTGGGGCTGATCTGTACCTGGGCTATGGCGTATTTTGCATTTCAGAAGGAGGTCTGTTGTAAGCATGGCATTTGGGAATATGTGACAGTCTGGGGTTCTGCAGTGTCCACATATTGTTATACTAATCCTTCTGTTGATCAGTAGTAAGTCAACACAGACCATGTATACTTAGAGTGAATAGATCTCAGCCTTATTTCAAGAACTACATTATTCTGGGAGTTTATATAAGCATGAACATCATGGGACAATTATTTCAGCATAGAGTTTATAGTCCTTTGAGTGATGAAAACAAATTGAGGCAGTTTATAGAAACAGATATTCATGATATGTCAGATGTATGAGGGCCTAATATGTGTTAGGCTCTACTAGAGAGATTCGCACAAATAAAACACAATCATGGACTGAAGGAGAAAGTGTTGCAAAGTCTTTCCAATATGAGAAAAAGGAGAGGTGTACAGGGTATTATGGGAATTCACTGAACATATGTATCTGTGTTTGTGAGTGTAATAACTCTTAAATTTTATTTTCTAATTTTATTTAATATAAAAAATAAATATCTTTTTCAGTTGTCTCCTAAGAAGACTTGGGAAGGATTCATTGGTGGTTTCTTTTCCACAGTTATCTTTGGATTCATTGTGAGTTTTACTCAGATTTTTATATTTTGAAAAATGGTAGCAAGTTTATTAATCTATTCTAAAGCTAAAAGTGTTAAACCATAAAATGCTAATCATGTAGTAACTGAAGCCCACTCAACAGAATCCACAGTCATACCTGGAAGATAACTGTGGCTTCAGTTCCAGCCCACCACAATAAAGCAAGTAGTGGGGTTAAAGTGAGTCACATGAGTGTTTGGTTTCCCAGTGTGTATAAACATTATGTTTACATTTTACTGTTAGTCCTTTAAGTGTGGAATGGCTCTACATCTTAAAGAACAATGCACATGACTTAATTTTAAAATATTTCATAGCCCCCCCAATGCTAACGAACCACCGTCTGAGCCCGCAGTAAGTCAGCATCTCTTTGCTGGTGGAGAACCTTGCTCTGATGTTGAGGCCGCTGACTGATCGGGATGGGGGTTGTTAAAGGTTGAGGTGGCTCTGGTAATCTCTTAAATATGCGACAACAATGAAGTACACCATGTTGATTGTGTCTTCTCTCGTGAATGATTTCTCTGTAGCATGCAGTGCTGACAGCATTTTGCCATCAGCATAACTTCTTTCAGAATTGCAGTCAGTCTTCTCAAATATTGCCGCTGCTTTATCAACTAAGTTTATGTCATAGTCTATAGGCTTTGTTGTTGTTTCAACAGTCTTCACAGCATCTTCACCAGGAATAGAGCTCATCTCAAGAAACCACTTTGTTTACTCATTCATCAGAAGGAATTCCTCATCCATGGAAGCTGTCTAAGGAGAGTGCAGCAATTCATCCCTTATTCAGGCTCCATTTCTAATTGCAGTTCTTTTCCTATTTTACCACATTTGTAGTTACTTCCTCCACTAAAGTCTTGCTGTTGGAAAAATGGTGCTGTTAGGCTTGGTTGAGGCAGGGTTGCCATAAAACTTCAGTTTGTTAAAAACACAAAACCTGGGAAGCACAATAAAGTGAGTGCAATGGAACACGGTATGCCTGTATTCTCCAGCCCAGCAGCTCTCGTCCTGGCTTGTGTCAGAATCACCTGGGGAGCTTCTTTACCATCCTTGTCCTAGCCCTCCACCAGGTCAATTAACTCCCTCAGCTGATTCTCATACACAGGTAGGCTTGAGACCCTCTGCTGTGTTCTGGTAGTTTCTAATAGCTGTGCAGCCTTTGGGGGACACAGATAGGACTGGGACAGGCTGTGGCTTTGAGTAAAAGCAGAGACTGCTAGTGATGTTGAAGAGTTCTGCCTCCTTCACACTTACTTGCCAGCTGCCTGACTTAATGGGCATTTGTGGCTGTGAGCCCAGTTTACAGAAAAAGTTTGTTAAAAATAATCGATGTTCACTTTTAGCTGTGAATGCAGATATTGTTAATGTTTTAAAAAATAGGGTATAATTATGGAATCTAGGTTTTTTATTCAAAGGTGTCTTGTGAGAATCAAGAAAAGGTACAGAAAAATGTCTGGATATAAGATGAATATACCAAAAAATTACTGTCGGGAAGTTTAATTTTTAAGTCATGTCCCTTAACAGTTCTAGAATATATTCTGTAGCCAAATATAGGGTAGTTACTAACAACATGGGGCTTTGAGAGGGAGCAAATGTGCAAATAAATGGAAATGAGCCAGGCTGGATGGGAAGGCCATGATAATTCCTTTGTTTATCAGTTTAGTTCGTTCTCATTGAAAATTCCAATACAATTTTAAAAATTATTCCAGTGTTATTTGGTAGAATGTTGATGAGATAATAGTTGATAAATAGGATAATGGAAAGGGACCTGGTCCTATCCAATGTTTATACAGTATGAAGCAAGGATAACTAGAATATTATTAAGTTAAATACTACTACAAGAATCTAGTATCATTAAACACAGTTTAGAAATTCTACAAGAACAGCTATATCACTGGATAGGACCAAGGATAGGACCAAAGAAAATAAAGAGCTATCCTATAAGAATGTAATGCATGACAAAATAATGAGGGAAATTATATATATATATATATATATATTATATATATATATATATTTAATAAGTAATTTTGAGGAAACTGGTTGTTTGGAAGCAAAATCACTATATATCCATGCCCAGTGTTATATCTGCACTTCTGTTAACCATTCTTGAGCAATATAATGGTGTAAGTATCTGTAAGAGAAAGGAAATGAACTAGCACTTTAAATTTATAATATTTTGCTTTTATGTATCTTCTTCTGTGGCTGAGAACAGATAGCTTTAAAAATTGCAAGATGTGTCCAGAGAAAGAATAATTCACTAAGCATTTTCTGGGTTTTTCACCTGTGTTGTTTTCTTAGCAATTTTGAATTACTGGCTATTTTTTATTGATGAAATTAGTATAACCTTTATGTAAGAAACTTCAGCCCTGTACTGTCCCATATCTTTATAATTCTTAGCTTCTGTTGACATTAAGTACATTCTTAAAAAAAGTGCAACCTTGCTATAATGCTTGTCTAAATGCTCAAATCAACTTTTTATCTTTTCCCCCTTCCCTCTTATTGTCATCATACCAAGATTATAATAACACTGATTTTCAAAATTTTTTGGCTTCCTGACGGCTTTTCAAAATCTTTTATTGTGTCACGTATGATCATTTAACTTTAAATATACATAGCAGAATGAGAATGCAAGGAAAACTTGGCATTCTATTTCTGGTCTTTCTGACACGTAACATATATACATTAAAAATTTAATATATACATATTTCTATTTCATTTAATGTTTTATGAACGCTTGCTTTGTTATTTAGGCTGCTTACGTGTTATCCAAATACCAGTACTTTGTCTGCCCAGTGGAATACCGAAGTGATGTAAACTCCTTCGTTACAGAGTGTGAACCCTCAGAACTTTTTCGGCTTCAGAGTTACTCACTTCCTCCCTTTCTGAAGGCAGTGTTGAGACGGGTAAGATAAACGTGGAAGGGATCCTCCCTCCCGAAGATTAAGCTTCCTTTAAAATCAGAAATAAGATTTTCATAGGAAATCAATTTCTACAGAATTTTTAGCTCTAGAATAGAAAAGTGGTTTCACTGACTGCTTGATATATCAATTGATAGGATATATCAATTGTATACCATATATATATATATATATATATATATATAGTGTATATGTATGTATATGTATATATATACACAATTGTAAGATTTATCAATTGTATATCCTATTCTCTTGGGGTTTCCCCTTCTTGAATATAAAATGAATATTGCTATCACAAACCAATTTTCTGTTAGAAACTTACTTGCCTAATGGTTTGAATACTGGTGGTAATTTATCTTGTGTTTTAGAAACATTTTTCAGCATCCTTTAGATTTCTACAAAGCAATGATGAGTTATAATGAGTTTTATGTGTAACTGGTATAAATTGACTCAATTTAAAACTTTTTTTTGTGTGTGGTGCCTCATGGCTTGCTAGATCTTAATTCCCTGACCAGGAATTGAACCCAGGCCCCAGCAGGGAAACCACTTAACCATTGGACCACCTGTTTCAGGGATTCCCTGAAACATTTAATTGTTAACTGAAGTTAATTTTTGAGAAAAAAAGGTTAACCAACAGATCACTTCTCTACTTGAATGCTTGATACACTGATTCTAAGAATTTTTTCAGTGTTCAAACCATCTGTTATCTGCTATAGAATTCTTTGATTCTGTCCATCTTTGATTGGGATAAGCCCATTGCTCTGAGAACAAGTCCAAAGATTGGAGTTCTTCGTGATCTTTTGTAAATCACACCCATGATGCACTTTCTAAAATGTGTAACTTCAATTTATTTAAAGTTGAATAAGAACTAAGAATTTACAAAATAATTTGACTGCAGAAGTCTTCTTGATTTTTATAATTTCCTCTCCAAATCTTTTAAAATTGTCTTCCTGGTGCTCATTTTGGCAGTCTTTTTATTTTTATTTTATTTATTTATTTATTTACTTATTTATTTTTATTAGTTGGAGGCTAATTACTTCACAATATTGTAGTGGTTTTTGTCATACATTGACATGAATCAGCCATGGATTTACATGTATTCCCCATCCCGATCCCCCCTCCCACCTCCCTCTCCACCCAATTCCTCTGGGTCTTCCCAGTGCACCAGGTCCGAGCACTTGTCTCATGCATCCATCCTGGGCTGGTGATCTTGGCAGTCTTTTTAAAAAGCATTTTACTTTCAGGTGTTTCCACAGCTTTTAACTTAATTTTAAAAGAAAGATCAACTTTCCCCTCATTTTGTCATATAAAACTAAAGTGAAATAAAATGAACAATCAAAATATACATTATGTAATTACAGAAACTGTAAAAAAGTTTCAGAAATTAATTGATTTTTTTATAATCCTACAACCCAAGTGATGTATAAGTCTCTAGACAGATTAGAAAGCACATTTTAGATTTTAGCACACCAGGTATTTTCAGTATGCTTACAGAGGGAATGGGGAGTGTAGGCTGAATAAACAAAGGATAGTAATAAGAGCTTACAACATTTATTTTTTTCCTGTGATCTTGAAAATGTGTGAACTTAATAAGAATATGGCATATGCTTTTGACTTACTGTTTCTCTCATGGTTCTTAGTTTAGGTGGCATGTTCAAATACATTTCTCATGCAGTTAGCTCCAACCCCTTTCCTTTTTTTTTAAACCTCTTTAGGAAACAGTGAGCATGTATCCTTTCCAGATCCACAGCATTGCTCTTTCCACGTTTGCATCTTTGATTGGTCCATTTGGAGGCTTCTTTGCCAGTGGATTCAAAAGAGCTTTCAAAATCAAGGTGTGTGTTAAGATTCTTTGTTAGAGTGTTATAGAACATAATTAGAGAATGTAAGAGGGTTGGAATTTGGTTCTTTCTTGGTCTCCCACATTAAGCCCCTGGGCAAAAAGTTTTCCACCCTATATGTGTCAGCCTCACAGAGTATCTTCTTTCCTGTTAGGTTTTGGTCGTGCCATGTTAATGCATGTTAAAGTATCACGTCACCCTCTCTTCTTGAAATGGCATGTGTCACTTAATGTTGGGACAGACAAAGAATCTTGGTCCTTCAGTTGTTCATCCAAGAATCCAGCCATGAATTGTGTTAAAGTGTAGTGTCCTGTCACTGTCTCATATGAAGGGACGTGCCGGAGAGTCCTGGAATCTGTGACTGGATTCGCCAGATCAAGGGGCAACAGACCCTTTCTGTAAAGGCCAAGTCATATGTTAATAGTAGCGCTGTTGCAAACTACTCAACTCTGAACTCTTCCATGGTAGTGAGAGTCCCGTGGACAAAATGTCAATGAATGGGTGTGGCTGTGTTTTAATAAAACTTTACTTACAGAAAACAGGCAGCAGGCTGGATTTGGTCTGTGGGACATAGTCTGCTGGTCCCCATTCCAGATACTTAAAATCAGCCCTGTGTTTTAAGTTAGAATCTCATAAAGTGAAATAATTGGCCTATTAGCTCTCCTCACGTGGCTTCACTAAGATTGAATGTTATGCCATTGGGAGTTAGAGTGGCTTCTGAAGGTGGGCAGTCAGGGCAGGCCTCACTGAGGAGATGACATTTGAGCAGGGATCTGGGGAAAGGACGATGAGTCCTGCAGAGAAATCGAAGGACGGGGGTTCCAGCGAGTGCACTGGAGCAGAGGAGCCTTCCCAGGGGGAAGGTGAAGAAGAAGAGCATGGCCATGGTAGAGAGTAGATCAGACTGCAGAAGTGGATGGGGCCAGATCCCAGGGAAATAAGTACCTGAACTCCGAAAGCATTGCAACGGGGGAGAGTCTACCTTGGGTGGCTGTATGTAATATACAGAAATGTGCGAGATGTTGTCGTGCTGATGCTCACCACCTACTGGGGGAGGTCATTTATATCCACAAAGAACCACAGCGGTAGCTGTGCAGGACAAGAGGCCCGCAAAGGCTGCAGACAGGAGAGCAGGACTGAGTCTCCAGGCTCTCCTGTGCGTGGGTCAGTAGGGGAGAGACGGAAGGAAATGTGTTGGCAGAAATTAACCCAAGAGTTTTTCGATCATTTTTTCAAAGAGAGAAATGTTATGTTTAGAATAGTGTTTTCATTTATTTATTTATCGGATTGCCACTCCAGTATTCTTACCTGGAGAATCCCATGAACAGAGGAGCCTCGTGGGTTATGGTCCATGGGGTTGTAGAGAATTGGACATGACTCAAGTGACTTAGCACACACGCATAATTGCCTTACGATGTTGTTAGTTCCTGCTGGGCAACAACATGAATCTACTCTATGTATACATATTGCCTCTCCCTCTTGAGCTTCCATCCAACCCCCCCGCCCCTACAATCCCACCTTTGAGGTCATCACAGAGGATCGAGCTGAGCTTCCTGTGCTACATGCAGCAGCTTCCCACTAGCTATTTTATTTTCTTTAATGGTCTCCGATCCAAGGTTTCTTGTTGAATGGTGAGATTTCTTTTCCTGTCTGAAATGAAGGTATAATTGCTGTTACATTTTAGAGGTTTTTCAGGTTGCCTGAGTAAATGAGAAGAGCAGTTCGTCATTTCCATTTCCTGGGCACATGTGGATAGATCTGTTCAAGGTCAACTTGCAGAGGCTGATTAACCAGTCCCTCCATTTGGCCATTTAGTAGACCAACATGTCCCAAATGAATTAGCTGTTTTGATTTTCTTTTTTACCCCAACACTTAAGAAATATTCATCACAGTAGTAAAATATTTATTTCAGCGTAAGAACTAGTAGATAAACATGAGCTAGAACCAGTTGTCCATCTGTCAACAACACTAAAATAGCACCCTCCCAGTAGTTGCTAATAAAACAGAAGAGCAGGGCATACGATTAGTAATAGCTTGATAGTGCTTTTTATTTAGAAAAAGTTTTATTAACTGGAAAAAGTTAGCACTAGATTGGATGAATATTTAAGTAGTGTCATTGGAAGGCTTTGGCTCGGGACTTCTATGGCAGTCCAGGGGTTCAGACTCCCCTACTTCCACTGGGTTGGATCCCTAAAAAGGAAACAGCAACAACACAGAAAGCTGTGGGTCAGTTCCGTAATCATTCTAACATGGTTCTAACATATCCCAAAGATACGGTTTACATTTGTTGGATATGTTCGAACAAGTGTGTATTTGTGTGTGCTTAGGTGCTCAGTCATGGCCGACTCTTTGCGACCCCATGGACTGTAGCCCGCCAGGTTCTTTTGTCCATGGGGATTCTCCAAGCAAGAATATTGCAGTGTGTTGCCATGCTCTCCTTCAGGGGATCTTCCAACTCAGGGATCGAACCCAGGTCTCCCGCATTGTGGGTGAATTCTTTACTATCTGAGCCACCAGATGGTAAACCACCCTTCCCTTAAATATAAGGGAAGCCCTTATATTTAGTAGGAAAATCCAATAGTAAAGTATGTTCCTTGAAGTCCATGATGTCAAGGAGACATGTACAGGTAGAAATTTTATAGCAGGTGATTTTTGAGAATTTACTAATATGTTTCTTTGTTTGTTTGTTTTCTCTGAAGGATTTTGCAAACACCATTCCTGGACATGGTGGGATAATGGACAGATTTGATTGTCAGTATTTGATGGCAACTTTTGTGCATGTGTACATCACAAGTTTTATAAGGTACTTTTAGATTTTTAAAAAATGTTTTATTAGATGATGTCTTTTGAGTTCTCATTTCCATAAGCATTAGTTTGAATTAGTTACTTTTTCTGTCATTGGTATTCCATAATAGTGAAAGGAATGGTGGCTCCCGGAACTGTGTCACACTGTTGCCTTGGGCTATATGATTAAATTATAACTATTTTTTCTTAGATTTGAACAACTTAAAAAATAGTATATGTCATAGTCTAATAGGACTGAGTTAAAATTCAGTCAGTGTGGATGAATGGTACTGGGTTTGGAACAAGAGGAGATTTCATTTCTCAGCTGTGGACACTGTGGTGGTAGTCAACACTGAGAGTTAAAAAGGAGGACATAATTCATCCAGTCCGCTAGTTACTGCTTGAGTATCTGTTCTGTGTTGGGGAATGTTCTCGGCATGGATATAGCAGAGGGCAAAACAAACCAGTCCCTGTCTTCAGCTTACCTTCTCACTGGGAGCTGGAGGGAGAGGGGGCAGGAGTGGACAACAAATGTAGCTTGTTTGGTGGTTGTAAAAGCCATGGAGAAAATTAAGCAGTCTAAGGGATTTGTGGATGTGTACGTGTGTTGAGGGTGGGAGTGGAGAGGTGAGGCAGGGTGATTGGCATGTGCTGATATTTTATATGGGTGCTTTATTCTCATTATTAAACTTTAATGTTTTGGATTTGCCCTAAAACGCCAGTCTGGGGTGCAAAGGCTAACAACATCAACCACATGCTAACTTTTTTTTATCATGGTCTCTACTGGTGTCTGAGCCTAGAAAACCTGTGGTCTTGAATATTTCTGAACCTTGAAAACCTGTTATTTGGAGGAAAACTCATACTTATAGCCCCTAAATATGTATTTTAAATATATACCCATAGTAGTGTGAGCATTTTTGTATTAACCTTTATTTTCCTTGAGCAGTTTTGTTATAGTTTACTTCATTAATCTTTTCAGTCAGATTCTGACTTGAACTTTCTCTGTTGTGTGTGTGTTTTCCATTTCATGATGTCGACTCTCATCACTCCTTCATCTTTTTAAAAAAAATTTTATTGGTGTACAATTGCTTTACAGTGTTGTTAGTTTCAAGTATACAACAAAGTAAATCAGTTATACATTTATTAATACTCTTTCAGATTCGTTCCCCATATAGTTTATTATAGAATATTGAGTAGAGTGCCCTATGTTATAGAGTAGGTCCTAGTTAGTTATCTATTTTATATATAGTAGTGTGTGCATGTTAATCCTAAATTCCTAACTTATCCCTTGCCTCCAGCATTTCCCTTTTGTAAACATAAGTTTGTTTTCAAAATCTGTGTTTGTTTTGTAAATGAGTTCATTTGTATCATTTTTTAAAATTAGATTTCCCACATGAGTAATACCACGGTATTTGTCTGACTGACTTCATGTAGTATGATGATCTCTAGGTCCATCTGTGTTGTTGCAAATGGCATTATTTTCTTCTATTTTATGACTAATATTCCATTGTATATCTGTACCACATCTTGTTTATCCATTCTTCTTTTGATGGATATTTGTAAATAGTGCTGCAGTGAACAGTGAGGGTGCATGTATCTTTTTGAATTAAAGTTTTCTCTTGATATATGCCCAGGAGTGGGATTACTGGATGATATGGTAGTTCTATTTTTTAGTTTTTTAAAGAATCTCTATCCTATTCTCCATAGTGGTTGTACCAATTTACCTTCCCACCAACACTCTCTCCAGCATGTATTGTATGTTGATTTTTTGGTGACAGGTGGGCTTTCTGACAGGTGTGGGGTGATACCTTATTATAGTTTTGATTTGCATTTCTCTGATAATTAGTGATGTTAAGCACCTTTTCATATGCTTTTTGGCCATCTGTCTCTCTTTGAAGAAAGATCTATTTAGATCTTCTGCCCATTTTTTGATTGGGTTGTTTATTTATTTTTTTTTGACATAGAGCTGCATGAGCTGTTTGCTTATTTTGGAGATTAGTCCCTTGTCGGTCGCTTTGTTTGCAAATGTTTCCTCCCATTCTGTGGGTTGTCTTTTTGTTTTATTTGTGGTTTACTTTGTTGTGCAAAAGCTTTTAAGCTTAATTAGGTCCCGTTTGCTTTTTTTTGTTTTTATTTTCAATACTCTAGGAGGTGGATCCAAAAAGATCTTGCTGTAGTTTATGTCAAAGACTGTTCTGCCTATGTTTTCCTGTAAGAGTTTTACGGTGTCTAGCCTTACATTTAGTTCTTTGACCCATTTGAGTTTATTTTTGTGTGTGTGTCAGAGAATGTTCTAATTTCATTCTTTTACATGTAGTTGTCCAGTTTTCCCAGCACCACTCATTGAAGAGACTGTCTTTTCTCCGTTGTATATTCTTGCCTCCTTTGTGATAGATGAGGTGCCCATAGGTGCATGGCTTTATTTCTGGGTTTTCTATTGGTTCCATTTCTGTTTTTGTGTCCTTTATCTTCCTTATGTTTCACTTTTCTGTTCCTTCTCCAGCTTCTTGAGGTAAAGCTTAGGTTATTGATTTTCAGCTTTCTTGTCTAATATTTTCATCTAACACTATATATTTCCTGTTTACTTCTTTTTGAGTGCTCTTTTTAATACTCTGAAGTACTGTCATCCCACATTTATATTTTCATTATTCAGCTACAAATATTTTTTGATCTTCAATATTATATCTCTTTGACATGGGATTATTTAGAAGTTCATTGACTCACTTTCAAAGAAATGGAGATTTTCTCATTCTCCTTTATTGATTTTTGCTTTAATTCTGTGACCAGAAAACATACTCTGTTATTTCAGTATTTAGTATTTATTGAGACTTGCTTTGTGCTCAAGCATGTGGTCTCCTCAGATATACATTCCATGTGTACATGAGACAAATATGCATTGTGCAGTTTCAGCATTAGTGTCGTAAGTCAGCTGGGGGGAGTTTAGCTGAATCTTCTGTACGGGTTTTTTGGTTTGGTTTTCCATCTGCTTGTTCTGTCAGTTATGAAGACAGCTTTGTCAGAATCTCCCAGTTTTCATAGATGTTGAGGTTGTGTTAGTTGTATACACAGTGTATACACTGTTGGATCACTCCTAATGTCATATAATCTCCATCTTGATATACTACCTGTTTAAAGCTTATTTTGTTGAATATAAGTATAGCTATATCAGCCTACTTTTGATTAGTGTTTGCATAGTATTTCTTTGTCTATCCTTTTATTTCTTGTGTGCCTTTTTCCTTATATTTAAAGTGTGTTCCTCTTCTCACAATTGTATAGCTGGATTTTGTTTTTATAACCCAATTGACAGTCTTTGTCTTTTTAATTGGAGTATTTAACCATTTGCATATGATCTATTCACTGATCTGTTACAGTATTAGTAATTAGTGATTAAATCCTTAGAACTCTTTCTTTTCTGAAGATGGTAGCTTTTAGAGCATTAACTCATACTTTTTTTGTTTTTTGATCTGCTGTTCTCTCAGTAGGGAAAAGTCATGCTGAGCCTTGTTGTCCTCCATTGGAAAGTAAATATTTAGATGATTAGAAATACAGTGCTGGAGCCAATGTGCAGCTAGCCTGGAGCGCCTGCTGACAGTTTTGCATTTAGCTGAACTTGCTGGAATAGCCTTCCCTTTCTCTGTGGGCCCCTACTCTGGGTTTGTTATGAAGTTGCTGAGTCTTTTGAAGACAAGTCTTTTATGAGACAAGCTGTGTCTTGACGTGAGTAGACTACAGTCGTGGAAGACTCATAGCTGCAGGGTTTTGGGAAATGATTTGAGCCACGTGCACAAGGTGTGACCTATGAGACAGCTAATTCATGCTATTGTGAAGTTTTTTGAATCAAAGATTTTCTCTGTGATAACACCCTGCAGCAAACATTTCTTTGTTGCTGGGTTTTCTACTTCTTATAATTCCATCTGAACTGAAGTTGTTTAGTCACTTAGTCCGACTCTTTTGGAACTCCATGGACTGTAGCCCACCAGGCTCCCCTGTCCATGGGATTCTCCAGGAAAGAATACTGGAGTGGGTTGCCATTTCCTTCTCCAGGGGATCTTCCTGACACAAGGATGGAACCTGAGTCTCCTGCATTGGTAGATGGATCCTTTACCACTGAGCCACCAGGGAAGCCCTTGACCTGAAGAGTCCTTATCATAAGTCATAAATTTAATTACTCATGTAAATGTATTTTTCAGAATCCTGTGCCATTCTCCATCTATTACTTATGTCTTGCTTCTTTTTCCCATTGGATTTCCTGAAAAGTAAACCTACTCTGCTTTTCCTGTTCAAGTGGACTGTAGGAATTGCAAAGAACAGTACATATGCATTATGATCTGAATGAGGTACATTCTGAAGTTGACAGAATAGCACTTTAGCAGTGTAAGTACAGAAAGTGATCTGTAGCTTACAAATGGATTGAGTGCTCGAGTCCAAAAGGTAGGAAATTGCACTCCCCTGCCTGTCACAGTGTCTCAGGATGGAAGAGTGTGAGGATGGGAGTCCTGGTCGGGACCTTTTCCGATGCAGGTGCACCAGAGGAGGGTGCAGAGAGAAGGGCTGGAGTGGGGATGTTGGCGGAGCCCAGGGAGAGGCCCCTGTGTGGTACGTGGTGGAGAGCAGTCACAGCCCAGTGGACACTTAACGCTGCCTGGGCTTACTTCCTCCCCGGTGGGAGCGGGACTGCTGGGCACGGTGGATAAGGCAGGCAGGGTTCTCCAGCTCCCTGTCCTCCTCTCAGCTAACGCAGGGTGGGTGCGAGTGTGCGTCCTCAGTCACGTCCAACTCTTTATGACCCCGTGGACAGTAACCCGCCAGGCTCCTCTGTCCATGAAATTTTCCAGGCAAGAATACTGGAGTGGGTTGCCATTTCCTACTCCAGGGCATCTTTGTAACCCAGCAATCAAACTGGAGTCTCTTGCAACTCCTGCATTGGCAGGCAGTCTTCACCACTGGCACCACAGCTGAAGCAGAGCCCCTTTTATTTGTTTCTGTTGTTGGGGTTTACCCAAGACCTTTGAACAAAGGCTGTTGTTCCCACTGTAGATCCCAGGTGGTGGCCTCAGTGCTGGCTCAGGACTTTGTGTCCTGTCTCTTGAACATTCATAGCTCCCTGAGGGTATTCTTTCAACAAAACACCTTCCTTGTCTGACGTTTCTTTGAAGCAAAAATGTTTATATTTTCATGTTTTCTTCTAGTTTATCTTCATCCACCAGGAACTGTGCTCCTTTCCTTACAGAATGGTTTGTGTGTGTTGTCCAATCTCAGGCTTTTTTATCAGCCTTCGCCTCTAACTCAGGTTGCCCTTTGGAGAAGTTTTGTGGAATTTTTAGATCTGCACTCCATCAGTTGCCTCACATTGTCCCTGTCTTCTGTGTGTCTGCATTTCCCCCACATCTACACTGCACTCCTCTCAGCGGAGAGTTCTAGGTTTTTTTTTTCTCCTCTGACACTAATATTAAAGTGAGCTCTGAGGAAGAACTGTTTCAGTTTTGTTAAGATTGATCCTTTGCACGTAAATGCATGACTTGCTTTATCTTTTAAAAATACTCATTTGTGGTTGCTGCGTGCGGGCTTTCTCTAGTTGCGGTGCGTGGGCTGCTCACGGTGGAGTCTTGTTGCGGAGCACAGGCTCTAGTGCGCAGCCTTTACCTGCTCCTCGGCATGTGCAGTCTTCCCAGACCAGGGGTCGAACCCGTGGCCCCTGCATTGGCAGGCGGATCTCTGTCCACTGTACCACCAAAAGGGAAAGTGTCAGTTGCTCAGTTGTGTGACCCCATGGACTGTAGCCCGCCAGGCTCCTCTGTCCATAGAATCTGAAATACTGGAGTGGGGAGCCATTCCCTTCTCCAGGGGATCTTTCCCACCCAGGGATCAAGCCCAGGTCTCCTGCATTGTAGGCAGATTCTTTCCTGTCTGAGCCCCTACTGTGCCACCAGGGAAGTCCTAAAGGCATGGTTTATTTTAAATACAAGTCAGCTCTCCCAAAATAGCATGAACTTTGTCTTTTCTGCTGTTCCCAGGGGTCCGAATCCCAGCAAAGTGCTGCAGCAGCTGCTGGTGCTTCAACCAGAACAGCAGTTAAATATCTATAAAACGCTGAAGACGCATCTCATCGAGAAGGGAATACTACAGCCCACCTTGAAGGTATAATTGGAGCCGGAGAGGGATGGACTAACAATAAAGAATTCTACAGGAAAGCACTGACAGACGACATTTTTGTAATTGTACAGAGAAACGGTTGAAAATGCAATGGATTGCAGTTTTACAGTCATGAATGTTTCCTTTCTGAAATTACTGTGAATATTTAACACTTTCTTGATCTAAGTTATGAAATAAGTAGCAAATGGAGGGCAAAATGTCTTGTACTTTTTCTAAAGTGTATTTTCTGATGTTAACTTCCTTCCCATTACTTGCTAGGCTTCGTCACTTTAAAGACTTGTATTTTGAAGAGTCACACACTATGAAATGAGTACATTGAGGATGTCTTGAGGTTTCACCTGGCGGTGCACCCTTTTCACAAATATTTACCTTTGTAGTCGGAGCCGTTCTTAATTTTCAGCAAAACGTTTTATGTAAGGCACAATAGGAAGCTAGTTCTCCTCCACTTCCTCCTCTTTCAGTCTGAAGTATTTTCTGAAGGGCTGACTTGGATCCAAAAAAAGAAAAACTGTCCACTTTCCAAGAAGTAATTATTTGCCAGGGGAAAACATTCCACTTTTAGGTAGGTTTGAAATTCAAGAGAGAGGGGCTGAAGTTTCTACCACTTGGTTTGCTCGAAAGAGCCGACACCAGACTACTTTGATAAAATGATTTGGAAAAAAACAGGATCTTCTCAAAAGCTTTCAAGAGAAATTGGAGAATTCCGCCGGGAAGAACGGATGTGCGCATGCCCCACCGTTATCTCAACAGACAGGCGGTCAGGAGGCAGCGCTGGATGATGGCGCACGCACAGCCTACCTCTTGGTTGAGCTCTCTGCCTTCGTTTCCCTGTGAGCTGGTCTCCGTAAGTTCTGTACCCACGAACGTCAGTATGTAGGGTAGTGAGGAGGGGTGGCGACCGAGGCAGAGCAGGGGGCGCTCTGCTGAGAGCAACGCCCCCCACCACCACGATGCGGCTCCACACGCCTGGGTCCCGTATAGCCCACCGGACACTCCCCTGGGAGGAAGCGAGCTCCGCCTGGAAACCCCATCCCAGACGGGCTCCATGGTAGCAGCTAATTTTTGTCACGTTCCTCTTTCACATCATGTCACAAAACCCGAGCTCATTAGCTGGTGTTTTTTTCCTTCCAACAACGAAAATCAAGCAGAAGTGATTCCCACCAAGAACAAAAAGCACACGAATGCCAAACCTTTCCTTCGGTGGACTGGACACTGTAACCAGAGAATACATTTCTTCTCAGTGAGTCGGTAATCTGTTGCTGTGTGCTCACTACAACCGTGTTTACTGTATTGAATGGTCAGCACAAAAACCTTCAAAAATCGCCTAGTGCTCCTTGGCTAAATGTTCGGAGAGGAGAAGTTGATATATTTTAAAGAATGTTTTGTTAATGAAAAGAGTACATATTTTTGTTTAAATCAGAAACAAATTTCAATTATTTTATATTTCTGTTCTACAAGTCTACTTAAAATAAAAAAGTTGCCGATGTGCCCGGGTCCCACGGATGTAATGTATAACCAGCAGCCTCATCACGTGTACTACATGATCATGGTGGAGAGAGTTAACTCAGTCCCAAGAGTCTAATGTCTTGGTTTGGCATGCACTCAGTCAGTTCATCACCACTGGATGTGTGCAGTCAGCGTTATTTCACACTATTCCATAAGCACCTAGAATTGGCCCTGGATATGTTATTACAGAAGGAAGTGATCACTTATAAAATCAGGCTACCTTCAGGTTAATTTTCAACATTGCTCGTTTTTACTTGCTGCATTAAAAGCCCCAAATGTGGATCATAAAATAATTTTACTTACCAAAGTTTAAAAAATATTGTAATAGGAACTTCTGTTGAAAACTTGGTGATTTGCACAATAAGAACTTCTTGGACAAAATGCAGTTCCCTCTGCATTTTTCTTTAGTGGTGAGTGAAGTATTGCAATATAGAATTATGAGAGCATTACTGAATACATGTATTATAAAATTGATACTATTATAAACAAAATCTGAAGCTAGAAATATTTGGGGTCACAGTAATAGCTATCCTCAAATATACTTTTAGAGTTGGGTGTATATTATTCTATATGTAAAAAAAATTCTTAATTTTAACAGCTCTAAAGATTGACCTTTTTAGTGTACTTTTATAGCATGTATATTAAAATAGAATATATTTTAGCAAGAATAAACTTTAGCAAAGATTGCCATAAAACCCTGACTTTGATCACTTTTATATTTGCACTCTGAAGTGGGCTTAAATTCCAGTGTAGCAAATGTGATGGCAGGAAGAATGGAAGACTAGGAACTTCCTTGATAGTAATGTCCAAGTGTTCCAATCTGCTATTTGGAGAGGTACTCTGAGGGTCCTGTTTAGTACAAATGTTTCCTCAGTGCTTTTCCCCTTGTGGTGATGGGTATACATTTACTGTCTGAGAATAAAAAGACTACACCCACACACCCTTTTATCTTTATAGTATCTCTTCATTTGTAATTTGGTTTGAACAAAGAAAGTGTCACCTATCAGGGGAAAAGAAAAAGTAGAATCAGTGTTTATCTACTGTATATGGGTGGGAGATAGCTTATGATATGTGTCAATCCATTCTCTGAACCTCTTAGACAGGAAAATAAACAAATCACATTTGAACTCTGTGGTGCGTTTTCTCTTTGGAGAAGAAACATTTCATTCAACAAATACAGAAACTGTGTATACTCCGTCACCAACACCTACAGTGACATCTTCAGGGCGGGGGAGTGAGTAAGTTCTTCTGATCATTAAACATGGTTGTTGAGAGGTGATATCCTCTTGATAGAAAGAGGACCGAATTTCTTGGGTAAATCTTAGTTTGTAATTGCTATTTATTTTTGTGAATTTTTATTCATCATCACTAGAGCTCTAAGCTGCGTGGACAGTGAGTGGTGTCTGTCTTGATGGCCACTGTGTTCCCAGGGTCTGGCTCAATGCTGGCATCTCCCCAGACTCTCAAGCTTCTGATCAGATGACTGGTTTGGAGTCTAAAGACCCAGCTCTGCACATTCCCATTTGTGTCTCTTGACACAGTTTTTATTTGGTGTGACTCTAAGATGGACTTCATTACTCTTAGTTCCTACAGTTAAGGGTTAAGTGAAAACTCCTATGAATATGTTGTGATTTGGGTTCAGCATAAAGGAGCTGATCCTTGGTGTCCTTCCTTCCTGTCTGCGCCTCTCCTGTTGCCCATCTCTGCTGGGAGGTGACTGTTTGGTAGGACTGAACAGAACAGTGTCCACATGTCTGGTCACATCTGGTTTAGGTAGTTTTACTGTAAGTGGGAAGATTCCCCTGGAGGAGGGCATGGCAACCCACTTTAGTATTCTTGCCAGGAACATCCCATGGACAGAGGAGCCTGGTGGGCTACAACCCACAGGGGTGCAGAGTCGGCCGCGACTGAGTGACTTAGCAGTGTGAGTGCTCCTTGAATGGACACCATCATTCTGATCTCCATGGACGAGCTGTCTGCCCTGCAGAGTCCTCAGCTAGTTCTCCTTACCAGCTCTGAAACTTAGAGTTTAGTCACTCCCTGAGGAGGAGCTGTATTTGGGTATCTTCATGCAGTGGCTGCAAATAAAGGCAGATCTAGACAATTTAACCAAAATCAGAAGCCTGTCTTACCTTAATCCCATTGTCTTCCTGTTCCTACACAGAAGGGGAGAATATTCTTGAAACATCAGATAACAAGGAGAGTCCTTTAGTATGGGCTGATGAGTCGAATGTTATCTGTTGGTGAAGTGAGTTTCCAAAAGGAACTGAGAGAATACTCTGGTCCTTTAATGTGTACAAAGGACATGGGTGGGTAAACCAGCAGTTTTGTCACCCAGAAAAAGAGATTCATTGAAGGACAGCCCACCTGAAGGTGTCCTCTCGGGAAAAGAATGAGATTTCAAACTGCTCTGGCAGACTTACAGGACAATGGGGTATGGATTTGGGGTTTAAGCTCTCATACCCTCCTTTTCTGCTGTGTATTCAGCTGGAGTATAATGGATCCAGGTGGTCTTCTAGTCAAGCATGTGCAATGTTCAGACTTCACACGGGACCTAGAAAAGTGGTAAGTTTGGAGAAAAGTCTTGAATAATCTATTAAGTATATTTTTGGTCAATTTTTATAAATCTCAAAGCTTTGTGAGGGAACCAGAGGCTTCAACAAGTACAGGTAAGGTAGACACATTTGTATCATTAGCAATTCTGCTTTCTCCCCCCAGTACAGAGATATAGTTTATGTACCATAATACTGTGCAACCATTACCACCTGTGGTTTGAGAACATTTCCATCACTCCAGAAAGTTCCCTGGTGCCCATTTGCACATAATCCTCACTCCAACCTCCAGCTTTAAGCAACCACTGGTTTGCTTTCTGTCTTTAAGAATTTGCCTTTTCTGGACACTGCATATACACAGACTCACACACTATGCAGTGTTCTATGTCTGGCATAATATTTTTGCATATATCAGTACTTTTTTCCTTTTTATTAATACTGTAAATGCTGACCCATTTACTTGTTGATTATTTCAGTTATTTCCAATGTTTTGGTTCTTATGCAAAATGTTGGCATGTGTTGTGTGGGCATGTCTGCATTCCCTTCAGATTTCCAGGGTGGAATTGCTGGGTCATATAGTAAGTTTATGTTTAACTTTTAAAGAAATCGCCAAACTGTCCAGAGTACAATCTTACATTCCTACCTGCAGTGTACAAGTGTTCCAATTTACCTATATCCTCGCCAAAAGTCAGCATTGTCTTTTTTCAAAAATTGTATTGGAGTCTAGTTGATTTACATTGTTGTGTTAGTTTCAGTTGTACAGCAAAGTGAATAAGTTATACACACTTTTTTTTGGTGTTGTCTTTTTAAAGGTGGCCATTCTGGCTGGTGTGCTGAGGTGTTTCAAGGTGGTTTTAGTTTGCATTTCCCCAATGACTAATGGTGTTGAGCATCTTTTCATGGGCCATTTGTATATCTTCTGTGATAAGAGGTCTATTCATGTCTTTGCACATTTTTACATGTGATGTTTTTCCTAAGTTGTAGGAGATTATTATGTATCCTAGATACAAACCTTTTATCAGATATATGACTTACAAATATGTCCCAGCCACCTGGGTAGCCCTGAAGGTTGTTGAAATAAGAACACAAGATTTAAAACATTGATAAACTTAGTTTATAAGGCAGTAGCAGGATTTGAGAGGATTGACTCTAATTTTGAAAGAAGTTCTACTGTGGGTAAAATGCTATCAAGCAGTATTGCATGCTATAGAAAAATCGTTTGTGAAAGCAAAAGTAAATAGTTGTGGCAAAATTCATTGTTGTTTTAAGAAACTGCCACAGTCACCCCAACTTTAGCAACTACCACCCTGATGAGTTAGCAGCATTGAGGCAAGACCCTCCACCTGCAAAACGGTTGACTCACTGAAGGCTCTAGGTGATGGTTACATTTTTAAACAATATTTTATAGTTGAGATACATACATTATTTTTTAGACATACTGCTATTGCACACTTAAAAGGCCACAGTATAATGTAAACATAACATATGCCTTGAGAAACCAAAAAATTCAGGTGACTTGCTTTGAGATATTTGCTTTATTGAGTGGAAATGAACCTACAGTATCTCTAAGATATGTCTGTATCAAAGTTTTACAGTTTTCATCATACAAATCTTATACCCATTTTCTTTATGTGTAAGTATTTCATTTTTGGGAATGATAATGTAAATGGCATTATTTTTAATTTCAAATTTCACTTGTTCATTGCTGATATATAGGAAAGTGACTTATTTTTATAATCTGAAAACTTTCTATAAGTGCTTATTAACGCTAGAAGTTTTTGGTCACATTTTGGGGGGGGGGGGGGGTGTTTCTACATACAACCCTGTCACCTGGCAACAAAAAGTTTGATGTCTTTCTTCCCAGCTGAATACTTTAATTTTCTTGTCTTATTGCATTAAGTAGAACTTCCAGTATGATGTTGAGGAGCGATAACAGACCTTGCTTTGTAGCTGGTTTTAGTGGTAAAGCTTTAAGCTTTTCATCACTGAATATCATGTTAGCTGTAGATTTTTTTTGTAGAGAATCTTTATCAAGTTGAGGCGGTTCCCCTCTATTCCTAGTTTACTGAGAGCTTTTAGTGAATGAGTGTTGGACTTTGTCAAATGCTTTTTTTTTGCATTTGATATGATCGTATCATTTTTCTTTTTCAGCTAAATGATGTGATGGATTACATTGATTTTTAAATGTTGAACCAACCTTGAACACTTGAAATATCTCTCTTGGTTATGGTATATAATTCTTTTTATGCATTGTTGGATTTGATTTGCTAATACTTTGTTGAGGATTTTGCACCTATGTTCATGAGAGAGATTGCAGTTTTCTTGTAATGCTGTTTGCCTAGAACGAGTTGGGAAGTGTTTCCTCTGCTTCTGTCCTCTGAAGGAGATTGTAGACAATTGGTATCATTTCTTCCTTTTTGATAGAATTTACCAGTGAATCCACCTGGGCCTGGTGTTGTCGGTTTTGGAAGTTTATTAAGTGTTGATTTAATTTCTTTGATAGAGGCCTATTCAGACAATTACTTGTGTCTTTCAAGGAATTAGTCTATTTCATCTAGATGAGCAAATTTGTGGGCATAGAGTTGTTCATAGTGTTCCTTTATTATCCTTTTAATTTCACAGGATCTGTGTGATAGATTCTATTTATTTTCTAATATCAGTAATCAGTGTCCTCTCTCCTTCTATCTTTTTCTTTTAAGGTAGATTGGCTAGAGGCCTATCGATTTTTAGTGATATTTTCAAAGAACCAGCTTTTGGTTTCACTGATTTTTTGGTACCGATTTCTTGTTTTCAACTTCACTGATTTCTGCTCTCACTGTTTCTCTTGTTATCCTTACTTTGGATTTAATTTGCTCTTCTTTAGGTTATTGACTTTTGGTCTTTCTTCTTTTCTAACATATGCACTCAGTGGTATAAATCTCCCTTTCTAACTATTCCTTTCACTTACAAATTTTGGTAAGTTGCATTTTCATTCAGCTCAAAATATTTTAACATTTCTTCTGAGATTTCTTCTTTGATGCATGTGTTTAAGCTCCATATATTTTGGAATTTCTAGTTTAATTCTTTGTGGTCTGAAAGCAGACATTATATGATTTCTTTTTTTTTTAATTTACATGTATTTTATGGCCCAGAATATGGTCTATTTTGGTGAATTCCATGGGACCTTGAGAAGAATGTGTATTCTGTTGTTACTGGGTGTCTGTGCATGTCAATTTTAACCAGTTGAGTGATGGTGCTCTTAAGTTCAGCTGTGTCTGTACTAAATTTCTGTCTGTTGCATCTGTCCATTTCTGATGGCTGAAGTCTCCACCTATGACAGTGCAGCCATCTGATTCTCTTTCCATTCCCAGGTACTAATGCAGGCTGTCACTCTCAGCTACTTTCGTACCAGTGACCTTCTTGAAAGTACATTAGAAAGTGGCCTGTCTCTAAATCAGAGACATTTTAATGAGGGCTCATAGGTGACAGAGAAGGGACTGAGGGTTGGCTGGTGCTGTTCCCTGAGAATAAAAAATGGTTGGACACATTGCTGGCGGGAATGTAAAATGGTAGAACTGTTTTGGGAAAGAGTTTGG